TAATGTTTTAGAGAGTCTACTGCGTAATTTTTTTCTTTTTTTTCAAGTAGAAAGCGCTCTCAGACAGAAAACAAGTTTTAACGCTGGTAAAGGTTATTCATTTGGAAACAGAAATCTAAGTTTATATCAATGAGCAGCGGAAAAGGAAAGTAAGCAATATCGTGAGAATTTGGCTTCCTTTGCTCTCAAGGTTAAGTATATGTCTAGAATTGACGAATAAATCCAAATAGTAAATATCTCTTTGTTTTACTCTCATCAGGGGTATGTTGCATCAACATGAAGTTTGATTTGCTTGCGAAAATTAAATTGAGTAGAAAATCGCAAACTGTAACGAGGTTTTTTATCGCAAACACAATATTTTGATACTCGGCTTTTTGAGAGCTGTGGATCGGTGTTTGAAAGGGCTCCTAGCGCTAACCAAAAAGATACAGGGGTGATGTGAAATTTATCTAGCGCTTCCAAGGTCAGATCTGTTTAGTTAATTAATTCCTGTCAGTCTTAACAGCTGATGAGAATAGTAATTCTTATTGCCTGTTTGCTGGATGGCGCGTTATTAATGTCAAGAGAAATTGAAGGTGAATCATTGCGAAGAATTCCAGGGTGGAAGAAGGGCGGTAAGCCAATTTATTTTTCACTATTACGCTTTAAGATCTGCAACATCCGAAAAATTTGAAATTTTTTAAGAATTATGCACTCGTGTATGATGCTATGAGGCTTAGCTAGAAAGGAAATTATACCTTCTCCGCAGGCGATGACCAATCTTTTGATGTTGAAATAATCTTAAACAACTAAGAATTTGTTTTTAAGACCTAAAGATCACTGAAGTTTGAAATAAAGACATTGTAGACCGATCGGAAAATATCACGCGCGCGTTTTTACGGATATGATCAGACCTCATTCCAGAAATGACTCGCCGTTTGATAATAGCATTGCCGCAGTCTAGTCGGAAAACATCACGCACGTGATGCGTGGAAAATCTGAAGGGCTTTTAACTTCAGGGTCAAAGGTTATCAAAACCTGATGATTGGATATGTAACGATACCTTCCAGTCAGACATCTATCGTCTCGTAGCTTATCAGCTCAATCAGGAGGTGTATAACAAATCACTTAGGCGCAAAAGCGGTCATGATCAATAATTGCTTATTACCCTGATGGAATGGGTAAATAACACATATAGCGGCGCTAACAGGCTCACCTCGGTACATTACAACTGAATGTCGATTTGATTCGATTATCAAAGACAATTTCCATTGGCGGATTCTTCACTTTGTAAGCTTTAAAAAATCCAGTTCAATGTACTTAGGTAAACTTTTCAGTGTAAATTCCTTCCATTTCAATCTTAAACACGATTTCAAAGGCCATTCACTGTTTACTGAGATATACGAGATATTAAATTACGTTCAAACATCCTCTGGGAGGGGGAATGGGGGAAATGAGGGAAATGCATGGGGAGGCGTGTATAACTGTCGAATTGCGATCGCAAAAGAGGAAGGCAAAGAGACTCCGACGGAAATAACATTGTAATATAACATTGAATATAAGCCTTGAATTACATTAGTTAGGGTTAGATGTGGATAACCGAAAAAAGATTTGAATGTGGATGTTTTTCCAACTTTTCTCGAAACTCAAGAATTTAGGGATATTAGAGATGAAGAAAAAACATTGTCTTGTTTACCTTTAGGGTCATTTTATTGACATTTTACTCAGTAGCCTACCACAATACAATTTAGGCATTTTCAGCCGAAAAATTGTATACATGCAACAGCAATGACAGCAGTCACTTTACAGTCGGTCGGGAATACTCAGCATTTGAAAAGCTTGAATTTTTATGTTGCATCTGAAAATTGGTTGAAAAAGTCTGAAAGTGACCTTGTCAAGGTTGTGATTTTTAACGAGAGATTTTCCCCAGAGCAACAAGATGTTTGTCCTTTCCATAGCCTTTGGAGCTGTTTTTGGTATCAGTTTTCAGAATCGGTGACTTTCAAGCTTTAGCTTTTTTTTTTTCAGATTTCTTTTTTTTTTCGTTTCACTCGGTTTTCTCTTTTGACTTTGATCGGCTTAAAAATCTAACACCGACTGAAGTGGATAAGTTTATAGCTGAATAATTGAAGTTGTCTTGATCTGATCGATTGGCCCGATGCAATTAATTTTCACAAAAGGCATCAAAATATTATCAGAACCCTCTTAGTTTTTTACCTATTAGCGGATTATGACTTTGATTAGACTAAAGAGCGTGGGAAGCGTGCTGAGGAAGTTTAAGAGGAGGTCGCAATTGATTAAAAGACGACCCACAGATAGTTGTGCCCTAAAGAGAATTTGTTCATACTTTGGTCAAGCAACCGGTCTCAGAAACATAATCTTTATCTTGAGCCCTTAGTCAGTCAGAAGCACCATCTGGTGAAAGAAGTACGGTATAAAAACGATTCAATCGTACAGAAGACTTCAAACAGGTGGAATTAACAGCGGTGTAACGTCCTCGTCGTTTAACGTATAATTGTGTCTGAATTAAGCCCTTGTTTTTGCAATTTCGCAGCCATTTTTCATTAAATCTTGCGGCGTAACCGCAGAAAAAAAGCTTGTTAATCTACAAGGACTGACAGCCAATTAACTTGTCGGTTTCAAGTAATTCTCGCTTTGTACTCCTACCTCGTACAGAAACGGCTTAGAGTTGAAACTTGCACGCAATGAAGACTGGTTGTGGCAAGTCAGCGCATGACGCATTTGGAAAAATTCGGACGGATTTATCACCGCATTTATTTTCAAACTATATACATTCAGCTTTTCAACTCACGGGCCAATTGTTGTCCCGGAAGAATAAAACAGCATATTTATCTGTTCGGATTTTCCACTTTGATTAGCAACTCCTGCACTAGCAAATAATCCTATATTTATCATCCTTTAGAAGTCATGTAGATTTGAAACGATGGAAAGATCAAAATACCCGGCGCCTTTGAAGTTGTGATTGCAAACTCAGTTGTAGATATTGATGTTAATCACACGCTCTCTTATCGTGTCCTACCAGTTCTGTGGATTACCTTACTTCGAATCAAATATGGTCAACCTGATATTTCGATATAGTAAGTTAACTGACATTCTAGAAGAAAGATCCTAGGTTCGCCTGACTGCTTTAAAAGGCGAAAGACTCTCCATTTTTCAAAACTCATTCCATAGGAATTCAAACACGTAGTGATAACTTAATATCATTTTAGCCTCCTGGAAGGAACCTTCTTTCTTCCTTCCTATTCTTTAGACCATGCATTGTGTTTCATCGGGCTCTTCAATTCTTTTTTTCTTTCTCCCTGTAAAGGTTATTTTAACATCATAAAACAGTTATATATAGTTCTAATGGAAGCAAAAAGATCCCGGTAATTGGTAATTGAAGTCTCCGATCCGTAGTTTGTTTGGCAAGGTAGTGATTAATCCTCATGATTTCTTTTAAAAATAGGAAATAGATGTCCTCTAGACCTGGGTTCTTCCACCTCTAGATGACCCGGGGCCATGTGAACGGTAAAATTCCCATCGAAAGTTACGTAAGCATAAGTGAACTTTGTTCAAGCCAAATGTAGCGTGATTTTAGTCTTGAATTTTTTTATGTAACTTGCGAACTAAATAAACAGCCTTCTGACAACAGAAACACCAGTTTGTTTTCCAAGCTATTCAGATTGCTTTTCCAAGTTTTCTGTACAAACAAAGATCTTTATTACTTGCATCAAATGTCAGGTGAAAATACAAAATGTTTTTTCATCCACTAATTTTCGACTCAACATGAAAACAACCTTTGTTTGACGGAAAGAGCGTCGGTTTCGACTGTTTAGTCCCGCTCAGCGGCAACGGCTCCAAGTTGTCGTGTATTTTCGGCTTGTTTTGGCCTGTGATATTATCACTTCGGAAACTGAAATAGTTAGCTGGCAGCGGGCCCTTTCCCTTTCAAAGCTTAGCTTCTTTATCAATTATGAAAACAGTCTAAAATTTTACCCTCCTCTATTTGACCTGAGCGACGCGGTTTTTAGCTCTAGTACTATTTGTAGACGATCCAGCCAAGTTTGAGAGATATTTCTGATTAATTGCGTCTCCGCCATAAGCTACTCATTTATACCCCTTGTACCACTCATAACTAAACATATTAACAGCTTCCACTATCAGATTGTTCTAGACGCTATTAAAAGGAGAAAACATTACTATTCACAAATGAAAAAAAAAGGTAGTTCCTGTACGTCTGCGACGCAGTCATTCAGCGGCACTTCTTTTTCTTCCTTGTTCTGCCTGTGAAATTTCACGGCTACCAGTCCAGTCTGACGCGCTGTTCCCGGTGTTTACGGAACTTTGGCGCTTTCGTGATTACAAGCTAAATCTTGGCTTAAACTTAATTAGGATTATCCAAGAAACAGGACTATTCCTAAATCGACTTAAAAGTGGCCACAAGCATAGTTTGTTTTGCTCAGCATGCGACAATTTATCAGATTCTATTATGAATGACGCGTGAAATGTTCGTCTTTCCGATAATTTCTTCATGAACAGCGATGTCCATTCCGTCAAAGAAAATACGCGCAAATATCGCCTGATCGCAATATTGCACTCTCTTTTGAGAGCTTAAACAACGATATTTAACTTCTCTCATGCCGAGAACTTGTAAAATCTGAAATTTTTTTTTCGTGATTTATATTCACTTAAGCCAGTCATTGAAAAAATATCATCTACTATAACCTCGCCTCGGTGGACAATAGATGTCAATTATGAAGGAATTTGAACACATTGTTCCTCAAAAGACTAGAGAGGGGTAGCATAAACAAACTATGCTTTTTAAACATCCTCTAGTCCTGGCTCTCAGTTTTAAAACATCCGTTTGATTTCCAGCCACAGGTAATCAAATATCTTCCAGGGCGAGCCCACCTTAGCTGAATATTTGAGATTGGTATTTTACAATTTTAATGTGCGTCATAAAATCTCCCCATCCCCACCCTGAGCGGTTTCCTATTTGGGATGTTTCGCATGATTTCTCCTGAATGCCAGTGTTTATTTGGTCGAGCTGTGATTTCAAACGCAGATTGCCAAGGGAATTCAAAGGACAATCATCGACGGTCGAAAGATTTGGTACCTGATTACAATTAGCATACATCGTTGCAGATCGAAACAGAAACTGGATTGCTCGGCTGATAAATAACAACCAGCTCCTTAGTCAAATCGACTCTCGTGAAAAAAAAACCTCTGCTTTTCGTCCGAGGCACAAGCACGCAGAACACAGGAAGCCATGAATTTCGCAACAAAGATTACAGTTCTGTTAACTCTGATTTGTTTGTGTGAAATGAGTTACGCGAGAAAAGGTAAGCGCACATCGAGGAATTCACTTTTGATGTTAGATTTTATTGGTCAGAACTACCAAAGATATTCACTGAATTACTACGAAAGAATTTCATTGATTCATCAATGCCGGAATTTCAATTCAATGTTCGAAGACGTTGGCAGTCTCCCGCCTTTCAGCCACAACAAAAGGCAGCCACACGTAAAATTGTCGATTCAGTGATGGGAAAAAATGTGTGGGGTTTAATTAGTTGTTACTTAGAGCGAGTATAGGCCTTTCAGGATTGGACAGAATATTTTTCATGCAAATCACGACTACGTGATGTGCTGTACATTGTAAGTAGCAGATAGCTAAAGTTTTTGTACGTGAGCAGTAAAATACTGAAGGTTCAAAGATTAAGCCATTTTTATTAGCAATCCCGCGAAAATGCTTCATACCTTTCCCTGAATCAATAAGGAATCAGACAATCGTTGAGTAAATCCGGCAAAATAATCTCTGATTGTCGTGTGAAATTTATGGTTTTGTATTTCTTTTTGCGTGAAGGTTCGAAACATCGCAAACATCCGGAAAAATCGAACTCCTCGGAAATGGACCAAAGGAACTCTGCGAACGGATCCGTCGCGTTTGGATCGCAAGGAGAAACCACGACAATGCGGACGTCCGTACCTTCAAAGGCCCCCATTAAAGTCAGAGTGGTTTCTAAGACGTCTAGAAGGAAACACATGATCAAAAGATGTTGCCGAATCGGCTACCGCGCTGCTAAAAGGGGTCTGTACTGCATGGTAGACAGGTACTATTCCGCTAAGTACAGAAACATGGAGCATTACGCACGGCAGCGCTTCCAAGGGCGAAAACCGTCGCGGGCAACGAAACGTTTCATGCATCATTTGGACAGATATTGCATCAAACTTCAGCTCAAGAGCGTATTTTACAAGTGTTGTGATGATGGAATGCAAATTAAACTCCAGAACGCAAGATCCAACCGAGAACCTTAGAGGCACCATCATCAAATATAGTCAGCTGGGAACGTTAATTGTTGTACTAAGTAATGTCAACACTGAAGGAGTCAGTATTTTGAAGTGATAAATTGTGTGTTTTACGAACAGATTTTGTGTATAATTCATTTTAAAAGTCGAAAAGGCACAAAGGGCCATGAATGTAACTATGTCACCAGTGAATAAGTTGTAGTTTTTTTTTGCTTTCGGAATTTTCTTTCAATATCGTGTCTCTTATGGAATCTTTTCAGTGGCGGCTGTTTTATTCCTGCAGAAACACTCAGATGTTGTCTCCTCAAATACGTTATTTAAAGTTCTCAGGTAATCTGATCTATATATTGTCCTGAGAGCTTGCAAGATCTGTCACTCCTAAAGTTTGAAGTTTTTCAATAGGTATAGCAGTTCTCTTGTTTCTCATTCAAACAGACCTTTCCAGATGATTTTAGTAAAATTCTAGGTCTCGTCAGAAATTTTAGTAGGAAAAAAATAAGTTGAAATACGGGAAGCGCGTTAAGTATTTTGTATATACATGATACAAGGTAGCTGTGTAAGGAGGTGCGACTGCCTTGAGCCCGTGACACCAAGCCTTGTCCACGTGTAAAAAATGTTTGTAGTTGGTGGTGAAATATCAAATTTCAGTCCTTTGCATGTGTTAAGCTTAACTGTAAAGTACAGGCCGTATTTTCATAAGTTGGTAATCACTTTAACTGTAAATAAAGACCCTGCATTTAATTAGACTGTTTTCGTTTTTGCGCTGTTGTATTTTTCTTCGGTTTTTTTACGCGTGGTTTACGTTTGTTAAGCCGATTTTGTTCCGCGGGATAAAAGAATGGGAATTCTCTAGCAGAATAAACAAACATCGAAAAAAATTCCAATATTGGGATCAACAGGAAAACGTTCTGTTGGAAACGTTTTCCGAGTGGATGGCAAGAGAAACATACAAACTTCCTTAACAACATCCTGAAAGATACTTGGAAACGGAAAATATTGAAAATGCATCACAATAGAACAAAAGAAGAGTGGAAATTTACGATAGACAGCTCTTAACAGTTCACAGCTTTTTCCATTATCAAGATTTCTAAGACAATAAAGATCACGACGAGAATGAAAGTTCAACGCTTGACACAAAGAAAGCTTTCACGCGAATTGATTGCCCTGAAATGAATCTTTCAGATTTATGTTATATATAGCTAACTGATTATAGCCTGGGGTCTCTTCTTGATCCGGTTTCTAGCGATCGAGTCTTGGTTTTCCAAATCTAATTTGATTTTGAAGGTAATTTGTAAAACTTGTATGATCACCGCAACATATCGGTATATCACGCATTGCGTTAAAGATGGGATGTTTTATTGAATCGGCCAGTACTTGGGACTAATTACCAGCTACTTTTCATCACTAGTTCCAACGGTTTTACAAGTAAAATATATCTCTAATGCGTCATTAAAAGATAGGTCCTTTAAAAGGCTCTGAATGATTCATAGGTAACGTGATTACGAAAAAGTGATTTGTGCGAATTTTAACAACAGATACCGTTGTCTTACAGAGGAAATCTTTTAATTGCGAAGTGTTTACGATGACGATATCTGGGTGAAAAAATACAGCCTGAGCGAGTTCTAGAATTTAAAAGGCGTGGTTTCGTGTCTCTCTTTCTCGGGATTCAACAAATGTGAGAAGGTGCTCAATGCCTAAAAGACATCATCGATCAGAGCCAAATCTGTCGCACAAGTACTTTTTACTTGCAATTGATTGCAAAGGCGTTTGAAAGTCCTCTTGATTCTAAATCGAGATGAGAAACAAGTGTTCCCCGAGATATTCGAGGGCGAAAACCTAGATGGCAGAACTTCCCTAAAAAGATTTAAACGAAGACTGGGGGGACCTCGGCTGAGTGAGTTGACAGAACCGTCGTTCAGGGAGGGTTCATTTAGTTTTGTGGGCGGGAGAAGAGAAGATTTCTCGTTTAAAGAATGTACTATGAATATTTGCAATAAGTTCTAGAAAACAAACAAAAGTTATTCAATATGACTATTTTTAACCTTTTTCAATGACCTGGTCCTTATCACATTCCGATGCTCGAATTTGTCCGGTTCCTCGCAAAATGTCCAACTGAAATACTTAGAGAATTATTGAACTTATTAACAATGAAATAACAACACTAATAAAATTGATAATAATGATAAAATTACGTTAAAACTCGCTTATAGATATCATAATTTTCTGGACCGACAATTAAGTCCAGTTTCAAAATAATGTATCTGAGTGGAGCATGGAGCAGCGCCTTAAATATCTGTTTGAGGTTCGTTGCCATCCCGAAGGATGCCTTCAGCATTAACTTCGCCATCCGTATTATTTATCCGTATTATCCGTATTACAGATTAATAAATGAAGATTCTTTCAAAACTGCTTGGGTCATGCTACATGCTTTAACGAGAGTTGAAATATTATTTTCTCTTCTATCACGTCTTCGCATGGAGTCACTGTACTCACGGAGGACGCTCCATGCATCTTGGACTCATGCGAATGAACGGCCTCATTGATAGCTGAGAATTCTCGTCATTTTGAGCCTTTAAGCCATTTTTCTCATCACATTTTTTCCGTATCAACTTACGCTTTGTTTCGTGTCCATGTCTGACTTGATACATTTCTTCCGAATGAGTTCTCTGCAGGAAAAACTTTAAAAACCCGTCCGATATCAATAATCACTTGGATGTAAATGATTGTCATCAAATGATAATTATGTTGTTCGGTTCGGGAACGTCAGCACTGTATTGGTCTGGTTTCATAGGAATATAGAAACGTTCAGGGGTACTTGTCTGTTTCTAAACGCTCAACTGATTTGACTTGATTTCACACCTCAGATCTTTATTCCTTTGTCTCTGAGTCCGGTCCATCGTAACAAGGCCTAAAGTTACATAATGAAAGTCAAGAATTTTACTCGCTCATATGATTCAGCAGTTTTGTAAGTGTCAAGAAAATCTGATGATCTGCAGATCAATTCTGACATCCTCAACTCTTTAGGTCTTGGGCAACATTTTAGGATGCACAGACTTATGGAGTACCCTTTACTTTACGACGCCTACGACAGTGAGAAGAACTCGCGCTATATTTAGTTCACACTCTGCTGGAGGATTCACAAATACAAATATTAATGAAAATATTTGCCATTTCTTTTCACTCGCCTGACTGACAAAACGTCATTATTTATTTTTTTTTTTTGTGACAGCTTTTAAACAGAACAATACCAAATGGCCGGAAACGCCCATATCGCATCATTAACTGCGGACTAGGTCAAGGTAGGCGTGTGTACCAAAGTGTCGTGCGATATATAGGACCATGCGGTTGATTCGGTTTTTCAGATCACTTGGCAAATATACTTTTAACAATGAAACAGAAAGACTTTGCTGGCGATAAATTGAATAATGGCGACAAGCTTACTGACCGTGCTAAACCCTTTAGCCCCAAAGTGTGACTAGCATCTAATATCTCCTTACAATATCACACCAGTGAATCACACATCAAAGTCATGAAAATTAAGGAAATGATCACCAACTCAAGAAGCTCTTGATTGTTAACCAAATTCTCCTTGTCAGCACTTTATTCTTAGTATAGAGAATATGCTTACTGATGTTAAGGTGTAAAGGCTTAAAAACCGCGCAGCTGAAGAATTTCGCTACATCGTTTCGCTAAATCAACTGATCATAAATCGTTCGGTAGCGATTTAAGGTGATACTTCTCGGACCATTAGGAGATCATTCATTATAAGATCAATGATTGAAACATGGGAGACTTCGATTCCTAAGTTTATCAATACACCGGCCCGCAAATTAAGGTCCAAATGCGCGAATTAGATACGGTCTTATAATTTTGACTTAATACTAAGAGAACTTTCATTTGTCCGCTCCGGCGAAGTGTGTGATATCAAATATTGACACATGGCGATCTTAGTCATAACGTGATCAACTGAAGGATGACAATTGAAAAATGTGAAAGCAAAATAGCATCAGGAAATTGGGGTTATGCGATCGGAATACGGTGCCAATTTATATGATATGGGAGCATATAATCATGTCTTTGTCAACAGCTAAAATAGGTATTGATCATCGCTCTCTGGAAACGGTTTTTATTGGTGTATATTGCATGGTTTATGATATCTCGCTGAAATCTCAAAAGAAATCACTCTGACGTGCGTGAAGCCTGATAGGAGGACCTAAACTGACTGACCCCTACTATGCCTTCATACTGACTTACTAGCAACTGCTCACGTACTAATCACGTACTAGGTTGGCTCACCACAAGCGGCCCAAGCTCTCTTTTAAGAACAACATGAAGGAACACAATTTGCATATTTATAAGGATTTGTATGGGATTTTCTACAAGATATCCACAGAGATAGTTAAAAGTGAAAATATTAAACAAAAATGGCTTACCTTGCCCCATACCTGTCTTGTTTGCTCCTGGTGTCGTTATTTTACCAATTTCACTTGATTTAAGCGATTTTATTTAATCCTGGTTTTCTACCACATAAGGAGAAGACTTCTCTTTATGTGGTAGAAAACCAGGATTCGAAAAAACCGCTTAAATCAAGTGAAATCGGTAAAATAACGACACCAGGAGCAAACAACACACGTATGAAACAAGGTAAGCCATTTTTATTTAATATTTTCACTTTTAACTATCTCTGTGGATATCTTGTAGAAAATCCCGTACAAATCCTTATAAATATGCAAATTCTGTTCCTTGTGTGGTTCTCAAAGAGAGCTTGGGCCGCCTGTGGCTACCCAACCGGTCTTCAGAAATATTTGCCGTCACAAATTAAACAATTTTAGATTCATCTTAAACAATGAGGCGCAGGATATACCTATACATTCGCGCAAACTTTTTTTTTTTTTAAGATAAAATATCCTGGGTTGTTTCTTTCCCGTCAGTCTTGTTGAATACCTTTCCTTGGCTGGCAGTTTGGTCGAAATCTTGAGCGCCATCAGATGCTGCAGCCGCATCTTCCGGGGGTCTGTCATACTCATGAGGTTTTAGCCAATTTTTAGTGTCGGTTTTTGGTCACTATCCAATTTAGGTGGCGGTTTACAGTCGATAAATTATCGCGCGGTGGCGCGGCGGAAGATTATAGCTTCATCACGCGGTTTTCGGAGTTTTCGTGTTTGGTGGCGGTTTTGTAAATAGCCGTTAATAAGCTAGGGCTGAACTTAACAGCTACTTCATTTTCCTTGAAGTCTGCTTTCTCAAGCTTTTTCCTCAACAACCGGAGAAGATTGCGTTTTAGGGTTAACCGAGCTTTTACCAAATAATTCATTTCGTACTCGTAGAGGGGAAGAGAATTACACGGTCCAAGCGAGTTACTCAATCCTCAAAAGTCGTATTTTTATGCTTTCTTATTGATGAAATACATTCTCTGTTTGTTAGATTTTGAAAGTGTTTGCTCGTAAATATTGATTGGGATTAAATTGCTTAATTAATTGGATAATTAATCTTCTAATTAACTTAGGAACAGGATGTTCCGTTCTTAAAATCTTGTGATGTTTGCGAGGATAATTACGATTATTGTTTTAACTCAAAAGTAATCGGAATGTGCGAAGTACTGTTTAAAGATTAGTTCTGTGGGATTCATTTTGCTACGAGTGCGGTGTTGGTCTTTATGAAACGGAAGCGGTTTGCGAAATGTTCACCCTTCTAATAGACCCTTCTCTTCCAACCAGTTCCTCTCGTGAACTTGACCTGACCACTTTTAGTTCTACCGCGGTAGTCACCTCTTTCTAGATTATCAAAACGATCATCATGTCATAGAATCAAGGGAGGAGTGTGTGAAGCTGTACTAGTCCAATTGCCGCTATTATGGATTTTTTTCCCCGCATTTTCGTTTGTTCGTGTTTGCTTGAATTATACTATGGAAAATGTGATCCGTAGGGTCTCCTTCTTGTGCCCGACCGTTCATGGTTTTAGAAATACCACGTCAAACAAACCAGGGCCCAGTTGTTCGAAGGCCGACTAGCGCTAACCCAGGGTTAGATGTTAATCCCGGTTTCTATATTTCTCTGTTCAAAGGCCGTTTTGGGATAATTTTCCCAATTCTCAATTCTTTTTAGAGCATTCAATAATTAAATCGTAGAAAAATGGAATTAAAGTGAATTTTCTTTTCAAGTATTCACATCTGAAATCAAATTTTACACTAACCCTGGGTTTTCTTAACCGACCTTTGAACGACCCAGCCCTGGATTTAGGGTGGCTTTCACGCACAGCGCGCAAAAGTAAGATCCGAGCCTGCAGGGATGGATTGTAGAAAGCGGTATTTTAAGAAGACCGAAAGAGAGTGGGAAGGAATGAAAAAAAAGATGGCGGTCGACTAAGGATGACCGAAAGTTCTACCAAGAGTTAACTAAGAAAGATGCAGGTTTCACAACCTAATAATGTTAAAATTTATAACTTGTCAGCAGGAAAATCTTTGCCAGAGGTACGGAAGGATGATGATTTTTCTCACGTTTTACTGCTGGGCCTAGAAGTCGAAAAAATGCTCGGAAAGGGCAACACGTGTTTTATGTTTACAACCAGAGGAATGTATAATTAGAAGAAATTTTGACGATTTTCGTTTACAGTGGCTTTCCGAAAGAAAGAAGCGAACCTTGCAGAAGAATGATATTAGTAAGTTTTAAACTATGTAGAGGTTAGATTATTGAGTGATCAATTTCTATTCTTTATTTTTTTTTTATTAAGTGTCTTGGCTCAGCTGGTAAATGTTTTTAGTTTTAAGAAGTTTGTATGTGGCCAGAGTTAACTTGCTTAACTGATTTTCAGAAAATTCCAACCCTATGTTAAAATACTGAAAAGTCAAGTTATTTCTTGTATATTTTTGCAGACATTAGAAGAAGAATTGAACTTCTCCAGGATTTTGAGATGCCAATTGCTTCTACAAATGTGTGTGTTTCTGCAGACAAACAGTACATAATGGCTTCTGGTAAGTTTTTTTCCATGTCAGTGCAGTAAATTTACCAACATTGTGTTTAAACTGTGTTCTATGGGGGACTACCATGTTATTGGAGACTGAAGAGCATGTGCTGAAAAGTAAGTTTTTAAGTTCCAATCTACTCTAGTTATAGTTGTGGCAGTTGTTTGTTTATATCGATTGTAAAATTCTATACTGATCAGTCCATGTCCAGTAAATCATATTTCTTTTGTATCAATTCCCTACTTTTGTTTTCAAGGGGTTTACAAACCTCGAATTCGCTGTTATGATACATCAGAACTCTGTATGAAATTTGAAAGATGTCTGGATTCTGAAAGTAAGTATCATACCTCTCTTTATGTTCAAGTTACTCTTTGGCTTTCTCTATCTAAATTCCATATGACCATTATTGTTAATCCAACTTGTGTCAGAACCATATGTAGTTGAAAGATATTTTCTACCACAAGACCATATATTTTCAATTGACTATTATGTTTTTTTATAAAGAATAGGAAAGATAGTAGGTTTTGAGCTCAGTAAGGAAATATAGAAAGATGTTCTTTCGTGTAGTCACGAGCATGGGACAGAGAAAAAAAGAATTCTGAGTCCTCACGATGAATCAAAGCTCAGACCTTCTGATTCCACACTCTGATGCTCTTACCACTGAGCCACAGAGACTGAACAAGGCCCATTACAACAGTGACGGATCCAGGGTTTTTTTGAGGAGGGGGTGCACCACTAAAGAATGGCATAACTGACTGGTGACCAGACGTAAACAAATTGTAATAGCGAATACGAAGAAGGCTTTTGCCTAGGCAATAAGCAGAATACCACTTGAATTAGAAAGCTGAAGGTCATCTCAGGGGGGGTGTGCACCCCCCTACACCCTCCCCCTAGATCTGCTCATGTACAAAGTTCGTATTTGACATGTGTCCTGGATACTGTTAGGATTGGCCATGTCAAAAGCTTCATGTTTTTTTGTAAAGAATAAGAAAGATGGCAAGTTTTGAGCTTGGTAAAGAAATATAGAAAGATGTTTTTTCATGACTATTATGTTGTTGGTCAAATGAATCTTTGGTTTTTAGTTTTATTTTCCTTAGTCTGGATGGGGTGATGTATTGGTAGACAAATTCTCACTTTGATTGTCAACAAATGTTTCACTAATGTAACTAATATCACTTTGAAATTCATTTCTTCACCCGCAGGTCACATATTTGATTTTCATAGTCACTTGTAACTATTTTTTGTTGATATTTCTTAACAGTTGTGAAGTTCTGTATATTGTCTGAAGATTATTCTAAGGTACATAATGTATTATATTGTGTATATGATTCAAAACTTGGTATGGGTGAAAAACAATCTTCATTGAAAATTCCTATCATCTTAAATAATATGCCAATACTTTAAAAATGTTCAAGATAGATTTAATAACAGTTGTTGGTAGCTTTAAGTTTAAGGTTAATTTCCCAAATGAATGAAATTAACTTTACCTGAATTCATGTTGTTTTGTTATACCAGATGGTGTTCTTAACCTGTGATCGCCATGTGGAGTTTCATGCACAGGTAAATGGTAAATAAATGTAGAAATATCTAAACCCCTATATCAAATTAAAGCTTATAGGACTGGCTCTCAGACTATACCAAAAATTTTGAAATAAAATGAATTGACGAATTTTTCACGACTTCTAAATGCGACCACCCGAATCACCTTTTGAATGTTACATGTTAAAGCAAATTTTGTTTTTCACTTATTTAAAGTGTTCCTCTGTTTCCAGGGCCAAAACACTAAAAAAACGTGTCTGTGATTTGCCATATTCAATTTCAGTGAAAAGTTACAGAACATTTTTGAAAAAGGATTAAAAAATGTGGAGTGATCGTACAAAATCGCTCTTGAAAAAAAAAGTATTTAGAAATAAAAAATTCAGAGACATGTTTTTGTTTTTTTATATTATGTAAAACTAGCTACTGTCAAAATTTGAGAGCAATTGAACAAATTCCCTTTGACTTGTAGCTCTTAAAAGGTGATTCGGGCCCTCGCATTTAGAAGTCGTGAAAAATTCAACAATTCATTTTTTTTCAAAATTTCTGGTATAGTCTGATAGCCAGTCCTATAAGCTTTAATTTGATATGGGGTTTAGATATCTACAGTTTAAACCGGACGCGCTACATCGCTTGCACGCGAGACACCCCTGAAGGTTTACGGTAACCTTAAATTATTATCAAGAGGGCTTATCTATATGAAGATTGTGAAAATCTTGGCATCATGCAGAGATACCGGTACTAAGCACAGGCTAAAAATTTTTTAACTGTGGCTCACTGACAACAGTGGAGACTAGAATAAGCTAGGGTACCTTGTGGGCCTCTTGGCCCCAGTGCACACTTACTTCTCTAACCTGATAACTACAGTACTACTCTTGTGTACATTAACCAAAAACACTTGTAACATGTGCTGAAAATTGCATGCAAGTGTGAATAAAAAAATCTTGATCGCCTTGCCTATCACTGTATACCAAACAGAGTCCACAGGGCTCAACAACTTTCCAACTTACTAGCCAAGCGGCTAGTGACATCCTAGATGTTACAACAATTTCAGTTTGTTTACTAGCCAAACTGAATTTCTACCAGTCTCAGTGTGGCTAGTTGGCCACTGTTAATGTCAAGCCCTGGTACAACTGACTAGACTGATCAAGACAGGTGAAGCTTCTTTTTAATACAAACTGGAATAATTTAGTAATTAACAGTTGATTTCAAAGGTTTATTCAAAGTTTATACTTTAAGTCTTTTTTTTTATAGTATGGACGTTATTATCGCACCAGGATTCCCAAGTTTGGACGTGACCTTGTTTACCATTATCCATCTTGTGATCTTTATCTCGTAGGAGCAAGGTAAAGTTTGCAAGAATTGTTTGTAAATTTTGATCTTAAAAGTCTTTGTGTCACAATTTCACAGAGTCACATGTTCCATTCACAATTTTATAACCTAACTTTATGTTCTAACAGAGAGAAGTGTATCTTTTATTTTGAGCTTTTTGTTTTGTTTTTATAAAAGTGATATTTTGATGAGTATGTCTTGGTTCAAATTATTCATTGGTTTCTTTGTGTATTTGTTATGATAATCTGTAGATTCAAAAGAAAATGAATTTTAATCTAATAAGTTTTGTAATAATATACATGAAAAAATTGAGCTGATTGGCTGAAAACAAGTGAATTTTTCATGTACATGCAACATGAGTGCAAAGTTGTAACACAAATACAAATTTCAAATGGGGTACACATTGTCAAAAATTTGTCTATTTGGACTTTCTGTGAAGCTTTTTTCATGTAAATTGTTAACAAGTAACACTATTTCTCATGCAATTTGGTGTAATAAGCTCTTGTAAATTTCCCCCCCCCCCCCTAAGGGCTCATGTTATTTTATTGTCTTTTCAGATGCAAGGAATATATGAAGTTCATATATTTTGAACTGCGGTATTAGATACGTATGATCCACGATCCTCGCAGTAGATAGCGTTATTTATGCAATAGCGAAAATCCTAACTCTTTGACTCCCAATATTTGATTATCAATTCTCCCTTTGAGCTGCTCTATAGTTCCTTGTAAAATGATTAAGAGAATTTGATGTTTCATCAAGGTGACACACTGTTTGAATGATGTATTTATCTTTTCTCTTCTTCTGTACTGTATTGATGTAGTGTATTGACACAGAAAGGAGAGGTTACATTATAATTGTTTTTTCTCACGTGATTATTTGACTTCCAGCTCTGAAGTATACCGACTGAATCTTGAACAGGGAAGATTTTTAACTTCTATTCAGACCAATGCTGTGTAAGTCTCTTCCGTTGATGCGATCAATTTTATTTTATTTATAAGTTGAATTTGTTACAATTAAACAGTTATAATTTCCACCAATTCTTGACTAATTAAATTTTACTTTTACTTTGAATTTGTTCCAGTGAGATAAACACCTGTGACATAAACCCCGTGCATCAACTTTTTGCTGCTGGAACAGCTGAGGTACACACAACTTTAATTTTTTTTGCTTCTTTACCTTTTTATCAGTCTAAAGGTGTATGCACACTTTATTAAAGTGTAACAACAGCTGTTCTGTCCTAATTTCTCCAAGCATACTATGTATTTTATTTGGGTTCCATTTTGTCACAAATTATTGCCTTCATTGCACCTTCTTCAAACAAACTTGGTTTTAAATGGCAGTAAAATGATCACTAACTAAAGAGGCTCTTGGTTATTATGTAAGTTCCTCTAGTCAACACCTTAGAAATATATAAAGAACAGTATGGAGAATATGCATTCTGATGTTAGGGTGGAAAGGGTTACCAGTAATTGCTGGTTACTGTAATTGGATTACACTGTATGATACAGATTTTATAATATTACCAAAACTGTCCCTCTTTAAAAAAGATCTAATTACCCATGTGATTACTAATATTGATAACTTTTTTAATAAGTAATAATTATATTAAAAAAAAAAAAGCTCATGAATTTAGGCTTTTGACCTTACTGACAGAAACTATTTAATTTCTATTGGAGAGATCTTCTCAAATGTACCTGTACATGTACATGTTTGTGCATCTGCTACTGGATTACTGATAATCTCACAACAATTGCCATATAACTTGGTTTGCAATGTTATTTAATGTTACAATGCATTGGCCCAACTATGAAAACATACAACTGTAAGTTGTCTTGACTTTAAACTTTCTTTTTTTCTGCAGGGACATGTGGAATGCTGGGATCCCAGGTCTTGCAGTCGTGTTGGTTTGCTGGACATTGGACTTGGTGGATTTGATTACCAAAGGTACTGAAAATGCCAACAACCATCAAAATAATGAATGGGTAATGAACCCTTCAACTCCCATGAGTGACCAAGACAGAATTTCTCCTTACATTATCAATACAATATCAAGCAGATAAGTAATGAGAATAAAGAAAAATATCAATTATGGAATTATTAGTTGATTCAATACCAAATTCTCTGAACCTGCAGTATAAAAATTGTAGGGTAGATGGTAAGGAGAATTACTAATTAGATGTTAAAAGCAAAAGGGTTAAAGTGCACCTACACCCAAAAAATTTTTTTCGCTTAACGAAGTAAGCATATTTTTTTGAGTATTTCTGCGCAAAAATCTTTTTATTTCCTCAAATCTTCAATTTTCTTTGCCCAGTCAAAATACGGAAAATCGGCCGCCATCTTGCCCCACGACCGAGTTTAAAGAGGAATGGCTCTAGTGGGTAATGTGACGTCAAATCGAGAACACGAAAGTCTGCTTTTCACACATTTTCACTTGTTTGGGAAGGTTGTAGTCGATAATTGTCCGAAAATATGCCGACTAAGTGTGTTGTAGAGGGATGTAGCAACGTGCGAAATTTGCAAGAGGGTATCGCGCTCTATACAATCTTCATACAACACACCTAGTCGGCATATTTCGGACGATATCGACGACAATCTTCCCAAACAAGTGAAAATGTGTGAGATGCAGACTTTCGTGTTCTCGATTTGACGTCACATTACCCGCTAGAGCCATTCTTCTTTAAACTCGGTCGTGGGGCAAGATGGCGGCCGATTTTCCGTATTTTGACTGGGCATAGAAAATTGAAGATTTGAGCAAATAAAAAAATTTTTGCGCAGAAATACTCAAAAAAATAAGCTTACTTCGTTAAGCGAAAAAAATTTTTTGGGTGTAGGTGCACTTTAAATGTACAGTGTGTATATACAGTGCTAGCTTATTGACAGCACTTCCTTTACCCATCATGCATTAAATTCATTGCAACATATTTCACTCTGCACTTTGTTAACAAAATTATTTTCCTCCTTTCAGTTCAGACAAAGTCCCAGCTGTCACAACACTGCTGTTCAAAGATGGATTGACAATGGCTCTTGGGACAAGTACTGGGCATGTGAGTTGAATCAGATTTGGTTCTGTTTTTCAAACACAGCTTGATCTTTTTCTCAGCTTTGAATTTAGATGGCCCTGGAAATGTCAGTGATGTCTGCAGGGTTTATAAGCATCTTGAAAACCCTTGAAAACCCTTGAATTTCAGGAGGCCGATTTCAAGGCCTTGAAAGTACTTGAATTTCGTTTTAGGTTCTTGAAAGTCCTTGATTTTTTATTGAACAACATCGAAAAATGTCTGCTTTTGTTTTGCGCCATCAGTAAACCCAAAACATAGATGTTAACAGAAACATTTTTCTTGGTTTTGAGGTAAAATTGTCGTTACAAAAAGTCCTTGAAATTTCTAAGTAGGGTCCTGGAAAGTCCTTGAAAAGTCCTTGAATCTTTGGCCTGAAAAAGTGTACAAACCCTGAGCCTGAAATCACAGCATTCAGCTGAGGATTAAGTGCAGTCTTTCCATACAAGTCATGTACAGTTTCCCTCTGCTGAACAACGGGGTGGTTGTTACCCACCTTCAAGATTATTTTCAATATTATCAAAAGAAGATTGTAAATGTGCACTGTACCCCTGAGGATTATTTCTTTACTTGATGTTCATCTGCAAGTCAATTGAAATTTATTTCAGTTCAAAATTATGATCAGATACCTCTGCGGGAAAGATGAACCCTTTAAAATTTGCGCTCTCCTAACATGTGGCTTTGTAGCAAAAGGTTTTAATGGTGGTGGTGCCCAGCTAGTATCTGGGAGGCACAGGTTTGATTCCTGTCAAAACCTGATTCTTTTATGCAACTGTTTAACCCTTTAAAGTCCCCATTTGCCCCCAGAGGTTTCTATGTATTTGAATTCTTTGCGTTATCAGGATTAATCTCCAAAAAAAATTTTCACGATTGATTAAATATTTCCGGAGATATGCCACCTCAAAGTTACTCTTTTGGCCATGCCCTTTTGACTTGGCCGGGAGAGAATTACTGGGCCGAGTGACGTCACAGCCAGAACAAATGTTAACTTCTTGTATAAGACCATGTGTCTGTTGCTGTAAAATGATGTGAAAATGCCAACTCGTTGCATGGTCGCTGGTTGCTCAAATACACCAGATTCGTCCCAAGACATATTCAAGTGATGTAGGCACATCAATTGAAAGACGTTCTGGCTGTGACGCCATGAGGGACTTTTAGTCACCAATATTAACTTAGCCCGCCCAAATCAAAAGGGCATAGCCAAAGGGCGAACATTTAATCAATCAAAAAAAAATTTTTTATGAGATTAATCCTGAAAGGGCAGCATGGTCAAGTGGTCAGTGTGTCAGACTTGCAATCCACCACTCCCGGGTTGGAGTCCCACCCTGGCCACTACTTGGATTTGTTTCACAGTAGCCCCAAGTTTCAAATCCTTGGCCATGCTTGTAATATAGCCAACTGGTTTGCCTTTGGCCAGTTGGGATTCTTAACAAGGTTATTTTCAATTTGAATTATTTGTTTAAGTTGTTTCGTGGAAAACCTGTAAACTAGCTTCTAGCTAAGTGTTTCTCCACGTTAAACTGTTTATTATTATGTTTATTATTATTATTATTATTATAACACAAAAAATGGAAGTATATATAAACCTCTGAGGGTGAATGGGGACTTTAACCCCCAGAAGTGATTAACAAGTAACTTCTCCCTATAATATCCATACATTATTAAGCAAACAGGTAATGAGAATACTCAAACTCATCAGGTAGAAGTTGTTTTCTTGATCTAACACCAAATTCTCATAACAAATTTACAAGCAAATGTGTAGCAGCTAGAGGGGAGAATTAACAATCAGATCTTGAGAGTTAAAGGGTTAAGTTGCCATTCACCTGCAAGGATCATTGCATTACTTGATTTTCATCCACAGGTCAAATAAAATTAATTCATTAAAAAAAATTGTGATATAGATTAACAGTAGACGAAATATAAAATTGACAAAAACTGAATACAGCTGTTTTGAAACTGAAATTATGCATCTGTTTTCAGTCATGTAAGGTAAATGAAGGACCAACAGTTCATTAGGCATGGGGGGTTGAGGAATTCTCTAAGTACTAACTAGCAGAATTCTGTGGTCAAATCTCTTAAGTCTGAAGTACTTCTTATTTAGAAGTGGCAAATGTTATCCTGTTACCTGATGCTTTACTGTACCCTTTTTTTTTTCATTAACAGCCAGGAATGATCTTCTCTATGTTTCAAGACATTTGCTATTAAACAAGAAGTAGATACTGTACAATTCATTTTGCAAATTTTACTTCTCTAGGTTTTGTTGTATGATCTTCGGTCCACCAAACCTTTGTTGGTGAAAGATCACCGATATGGCCTACCCATCAACAGCATTGCCTTCCAAGATAAACTAGATGTTGTGTTGTCTGCTGATTTAAAGATCCTCAAAATCTGGGACAGAGAAACAGTAAGTCGTAGCTGTAGTTTGTATGACTGAACTTCATTTGTACTACTCCTTTTGCCAAGGGGAAGACAAATGAGTGACACTTTTGTTTATAGTTTGATAGTTCAAAATCAATCATCTTTCTTAAAGTTTATCATTCTATTTAAACTCATAACACTTTTAAATCCTTTAACTTCCTTTAACTCCCTTTAACTCCCATGAGAAATTAAGACAGAATTTCTCCTTACAATATCAAAATGTTATAGTTGATCCAATGCCAAAATTCTCCAAACCAACATCATAAGAATTTTCTGGCAGACAGTAAGGAGAATTACTGATAAGATATTGGGAGTGAAAAATTTAAAACAGTGTACAGGACACTTGTTTGTTACATACAGTACAAACCTACTGGTAGTTTATGGCTTAGCTTAAAAACAAGTTCTGTCCAGCTTAGTTGTAGAGCATGGAACCACAAAATCCAAACATCTCAGAAGTGACTGCTATTTTTGCTAGTCCCCTTCTCGTGACTCGTGAATAACATTCATCTGCTTTTAATTCTCGAGTGAGCTCAAGATTAACTATCTTTCCTATTCATTTTAATAACATAATGCTTTGAATATGGCCGATCTGAGCACTAAACAGGATTTTAGTTATGTAATAAACCTACACTGTAGTTGATGGCTATGGAGTACTCTGTATAGCCTAGTGGTAGAGTATCAGGTAATTGTGAAGAACATCTCCCTAAAAAAACCTGTTGCAGCAGAAAGATTGTTGTTAAATTGTGGTATCAACTCATTTTAAATGTGAGTCAATATACGTAGAGCCTGTTGGTGGCCTGTGGATTATTTGTGGACCACCAGGTTTTTTTTTCCGAGAGCTGTTTTTCACAAACACAAAGTATTAGAGTGTGAAATCTGAGAGTCTGATGTTTAAATCTTTGCAAGGGACTCCAATTTTTTTTGGTCTCATTGCTCCTGACAAGTAAATTGTGTCTTTCCCTATTGAACAACCAAGTTCATAATTTACTCGGCTTTTTCTTTATCACATTGCACACAGGATACTTTCATTTTCGCTGATTCAATTTACTGAATGCTACTTGCCTCTGGACACATTGTTTTCATTGACAGGGAAAGCCCTTTACCTCCATCGAACCACCCACAGACATAAATGATTTATGCTCCTATCCAGACTCAGGTTAGAGAAATTTTAAAATTACCTTTCACTCTTTCAATTTTACTCTTTCTGTTTCTTATTAAAGAAAGAAGTGCCCTTGAGTAAACTGTTAGTGTGTTACATGTAGTTAACCACAACAAAAATTATTCCAAGTCATGTTTTTGCACTATTAATTCATGTTCAACTAATAACTGATTTTTTTTTAATTTATTTCTTTTTTAAAAGGTTTAGTTTTCATGGCAACTGAATCCCCCAAAATGCTTGTTTACTATATCCCGGTAAGTAATTATTCTAATAGTTTTCATTGTGTGGAACAAAAAATATCAAACACATTCTTTCGTTTTCGTCAAAGATACTTATATATAGGGCATTTATTACGCCTCACTTTACTTATTGTAGTTCCATTTGGAATAGCTGTCTCAAAGAAGATAGTGACCGATTAGAGAGATTACATGAGAGGGCCCTTAGATACGTGTTTAATGACTTTTCCAACGGATATGATAGTCTATGTTATAAGATTAGTTACTCATTAAGTTGTAGACGGAAACGAGATATGCTTTTAATAATTTTTAAGCCCTCTATAACAATATGCCTCAGTATATTCAATCTTTATTTCAAGTAAGAGAAAATAAGAAAAATCTTAGGGCCAAAAACAAACTTGTTTTACCTGTAGCTAAGACCACAACTTACGGCCTTAAATCGACTTCTTACATTGCTGCTAAGGCTTGGAATGCATTACCTGATAAGCTAAGATTAATGGCTGAATTTGGCCCTTTCAGAAATGAGATAAGAAAACTAAGTAATTTGTAATTTTATATCATCATTTATATTTAGGCTTATATTATTTTTACATCATTTATATTTATATCATTTATATTACATCATTTATATTACATCATTTATATTTAGGCTTATATTATTTTTATCTCCAGCTATCTAGACAAAATTATGGCTCCCATCGTCAAACTTTACCATCATGATTTTACATTAAAGACAGCCAACACGCTCTTCAAATTTTTCGAGACTTCAATTTCCTTGACCGAAACAAACTTCTTTTCACCATGGATATTACGTCTCTTTACACTGTCTTTCCTAATGGCGAAGGCCTTCTGGCCCTTAAACATTTTTTTGATCAACGTACTGTTAAGGAACCTAAATCTGAAACACTTCTACGCTTAGCCGAACTTGTGCTCACACTCAACTGTTTTTCATTCGGAAACAACTTCTTCAAACAAACCAATGGTGTAGCCATGGGCACCAAAATGGGACCTAGCTATGCCAATCTTTTTGTAGGTTTTGTCGAACATCAATTTTTCAGCCAATACAACGGCTCCAAACCTGAACTCTACGGTCGCTACATCGACGACTGTATCGGCGCTACCTCCTCTACCAGAGAGGAGCTCACTCAATTCATAACCGCAGTCAATTCTTTTCACCCGGCTCTGAAATATACCTGGGAAATTTCTGACAATTCTTTATCCTTTTTAGACATCAAAGTTTCAATTGAAGGTAACGGTTTATGCACTAGTGTGTATTACAAACCTACAGACTCGCATAATTACTTGTTATATTCGTCTTCGCATCCATCTCACGTTAAGAATTCCATTCCTTTTTCTCAGTTTCTAAGACTTCGTCGTTTATGTAGTGATGACTCTGATTTCCACCACAAATCAGAGTCAATGTGCCAGTTTTTCGATAAACGTGGTTACCCTGTTTCTGTCGTTCAAGCGGGTTACCACCGCGCCCAACTTATTAGGGACNGAATGACAAGGACACATCGAAACCAGTCGCTAGACATTTTTAATTTACCTAATCATTCTAAGCAACATATGGCAATCTGCGGTCTTCCCTTACACTTAGGTAGCACGGAAAGCGGTAAAACTCTTGAACACAAGCTCATCTTTCAAACCGGCAGTCTAAATCCCACAGGTATCAACGAACGCTTTTCATTCCACTAATTTATTCGTGTTTTTCTCGTTGCCATGTTCCCACCAATAACGTAGCTCCATTTTCTGCCTTTAAACACGAAGGCGCGCTATAAAAGGAGCCTTGGGTCCCACTGGACCATTTATCAATCTACCCTCGTGTGATGTAGAACTCTTAGAGTCAAGTCAGCTTGAGCTACAGCTACTCCAAAGCAGTGAACAGCGGGCGCATTCCTCAAAATTGTTTTATGTCTTCATCACAATACAAGAATTTTTGAGATTTGTATTTCCTTTCTCTTTATTTGTGGCGGTAAATTTGAGATCGAAGTCAGTGTTTTGCACGTTACCTCATGCCACCATGCTGGTGGAAGTAAACAATAGATATCTCATTAGCTCCTTTTGTTCGTCTACCAGCATTTAAATTTGACCCGCACACGTCAACGGTGATTGACAAATGAGCCTAGGTCTTCCCAGGGAAGACTTCCTTATATAGCGCGCCTTCGTGTTTAAAAGCACACACAACCCACAATTCCTCTATTCGCTCCGACGAAGGGCTAACGCTCGAAACGTCAGCTTTTGTAATCGTTACGGTGGCCAATTTACCATTGTTGATATATCCAAATTATTTCGTTACCCCACCGACGCAGCCCCAAACAGTTTCTTTAGAAACTATCAGCCTTTATTATTTTTAAACTATGTTATTTATATTCATATATTTTTCCTCGGTATATTAGCATCTCTATTGCTAGAGGCCTAACAAGCCTCATTTTCATCCGAGTTCAAATAGAGTCATCATCATCATCATCATCATCATCAAGGTGATTTAGCAGGTAACTTGATTGTCCACGTTCATTATTTCAGGCTCTCGGCCCAGCTCCCAGGTGGTGCTCGTTCCTGGACAACTTGACTGAAGAGTTGGAAGAGGACCAACAGCCAACAGGCGAGTGAACCAAACAGATGGTCAACCAGACATAAAGTCTTTCATGTTACCTGAACACACATCGTTTGGTTCATAAATTTAGTCTTAGGCCTAGCTTGCCATGAAGTTTTATATTGTAACCCAGGTGCTAAAGCATCTGGCTAAGTTTGAATTGAAGGTGGAATCCAAAGGAACTTTGTTCCATAAGTTAAATGTAAGCATAGGTCTTTATTTATTTATTTATTTTTTTTTTATTTATAAGATTCGCCGACAGTTTGGTATGTTGTTTAAACTTCATAAATGCTGTTGAAATTGTGGTTGTTAGGCATGTGTTTAGCTTTGCCAGCTTTCCTTCCCTTCTCTGCCTGTTGCTTGTTTGTTTTTGTTGCTTTTCTTCTAAACAGTGTACATGAAACTTACTGTTAGACAGTGTAAATATGAATGTTTCTTTGGTAAAAGTCCTGTTTAAGCATTTCACCAAAAAAAATAATTATACTCCAAGCATGAATTTTTTTTTATATACTCCAAGCATGAATGCAATTAGGAACATTTCAGTGAAATAGTTCCATCAAAGATTGCTCTATTCCTAAATTTTAAAACTACAATTTTTTAGCTCTCTGTAGATAAAACTAATCAGTTTATCTTATTTGTTTTTACTTTTAGTGTATGATGATTACAAGTTTGTCACTAAGCAAGAATTGGAAAGTTTAGGTGAGCAACCTGGTACCTTGAGAAGTTTGTGATGAGAAGCTTTAGTGAAGCTGGGACTGTAACATTGCTTGATGTTGTCAAGTGTAAAGAGAGAGGAAAAAAATTATCCTCTTTACAGGCAATCACACCTGTAGGGTAACAAACACCATACTACGAAATGGCGAATAGTACTCCATTCTTTCGTCCTTCGTCAACTGGCCGTCATTTCAGACAGGCTGAAATCTTTACCTTCCCTGATCTTATTTTCGGGTAAAGGCTGATAGTTTCGAAAGAAACTGTCTGGGGCTGCGTCGGTGGGAGTAACGAAATAATGATTCGCTCCGACGAAGGGCTAACGCTCGAAACGTCAGCTTTTGTAATCGTTACGGTGGCCAATTTACCATTTCAACTTTGTTGATATATCCAAATTATTTTTGGGTAGTTTTTCCTCCTAATTAGTTAACATACATTTCCTTGTGAAAATTTACGATAATTTGGTGTTGACGGTATCTCGATGAAAGCCTCTGCCGGAAGACGAGTGCATTAAAAGTGTTTAGGCAAAAGGACAAGTAACAAAGAAAGTGTGGTTGTACTATTTCTAAATATTTTTTCATCATTTTCAGTTGATAACGCATTTTAAGGTGAGATTGTTTCTTCGTTTTCTAGGTTTAACGCATTTGATGGGAACGAATCTGTTGCGTGCTTACATGCATGGGTACTTCATAGACATTCGACTTTATCACAAGGTGATCAATGTATTAGAATCGTTTGGCTGAATCAGCTGTTAAGCTCGATAATCAAACACCATTCGTCTTGGTACTTTGTTCAGAATTAATCCATTTGTATTGATGTGACGGGATCACCTACGAACATAGTCAAATNTTCTCGTTCACTCTAAAGCCATCGTTTGCCTTTTTTTTTTATCGCTGTCAAATCATTTACATAAGTCTCTTGCCCATATTAGGACTTGAAGACTACGCCAGTGATCCCCTCTTTATACATAGCTAGAGTACAGCTGTAACCTCACCACAATGTCGAGACAGCCTCGTCCCAACGTCACGCCAATTCCTACGTGTTTTTAAACTAAGGGACACCTTGGGTTTTCGAAACGGCCTATTAAGCTGCAGTAGTCTTCTTTTCTACATTTATATTATCTTAAAACACATGTAACTAGTTATTTGAGGTTGTTCTTCATGCAAATGAATTGCCCTTTTTAGGCCAAGTCTTTGGCAGAGCCGTTTGCGTTTGAAGAATATCGTAAGAAACGAATCCAGGACAAAATTGAAGAAGAGCGCGCCAACAGAGTCAAGCTGAAGGTTTGTAGATGGACGTATTTTGACCTTTTTCGTGTTTCTTTGTTCTGATAACTATTCTCTTTATTTTTGGCTAATTTTATGGCAAGAGAAGTGTAAAAGTATAATTTTGATTTGTACAAAGTATCCTTAGCTTTTTACAGTCATATACTCCACTTACCCGCGTAAGGTCTTCTGTCTTACGGTAAGGGAAGTATACAGCGCCGATGGAAAAAAAAAAAAGAGAGACAGAAAAAAGAGAGAAGGAAAGGAAAAAAAAAATAAACTGTACTTACCATATCGGAAATCATTTTCAAGGGAATATAGTGAAGACACAAAAGCAAAAATACTTAAAAGGAGCTATACATAATGGTCTGCAGTGCCTGTAGAACCTTAATTTTTAATCTAATCATTAGAAATCAAGCTTATCGTTTTCCATCTTTACATGTTAACCTCCTCGTTCCCTATTTTGGTGTTTGCTTGTTTTTTTTTTTTTAATATAATATTACCACTCTAATCAGTAGTTTATTTATTTGCCTGAAGTTGAAGGTGATTTTGTATTTTTGTAAAACAAACCTAACATAGCTCAAACCAGCAGTGAGTTTCACTTCAGAACTCCTGTGACCTGTTGTGAGCAGGAAAACCGTTTCAAAAAACTCCTGAACCAAATGCAATACATGAACAATGAGAATTTCTTTTGGCTTCTGAGTACCTTTTAGCAGTCGTCAGTCGCTACGGACCAATGATTGTTAATGAGTAAGTCATAGTGGTATTGATTTCCGTTTAGAAACTACCCAAAGTGAACAGAAATTTAGCTGAGAAGCTGATGGACGAGAAAAAAGATAAGAGAAAAGAAGCAGTTGAAGTGAGTAGCCATTCGCTGTTGCTAAGCTTCGAATCTTATTCAGGCTGAAACTGAATATCCAAACTTCTGCTACTGTGTTCAGGTTTAAAGAACGAGCGAGCTATATCCGTGTATTGTGTTGTTTTCTTTCAGAATTCGGAAGTGAGTAATCCGCTGGGTGATGACAGGTTTTCAGCCATGTTCTCCAACCCAGATTTCCAAGTGGACGAAGAAAGCCAGGTAGGGTCTGACTCGATCTCATTTGTAACACGAAGAGCAATTTTCCATGAAGGGTCCGAAATAATCAGAATTGCTTTAGTTTTGCTCCACGTCGCTATGCGATTTGGGCAGAAAACTCGCGCCATCGCCTCTGTCAAAGATGCCAAACTAAAACCAATCTTCCTGCGCAAGAAAACAGAGCAAGAAAAGTTTCTTTACTGGGAAAGAAGCAAAAACGATCAAGCTGGCGCATAGTCACTGTTTTTTTGTTTTTTGTTTTTTTTGTTTTTTTTTTTCAAGGTGAGATGATTTTCACCCATTTTTGTCTTATGATATTGTAGGAATTTAAACTTCTCTATCCTGTTGTGTCCAAACACGACCGAGAAAGACAGAAAAAACAGAGAGAAAAACAAGCGTTACTGGAGCAATTTGATGAAATTGAGGTAATTAGCACAGTCATTTAATTTTTTCTAGGATTTTTTTTTCGCTTCATTTTTCTTTCATGTGTTTAGGTTTGTGGTACTTCATGCCAAGTTAGTGATGTCAATGTTTTTCTCATTGATAATAGCAACAAATCGACAATGGTTTAGCGTGTGGTCTGTACTCTTATCGGCAACGATATTCGTCATCACAGTGGTCAAAATGTTGGCTGCACCTCGTGAGTCCGCGACAAATTTTTAGCAATTTTAAGAGCACAGCACGGGCTAAACCACTCTTGATTTTTTTCCCATAATATTGACGTCAGTAAAACGATTCTTTCAGTGCGTGGCACGCAGCATGACACGTTGACGCGAGCAGCGTTGTCTGTACTCTTATCCACAAAGGCATATTGGCCAATCATATTGTGGCATTGCTGCCAATCGTGGTAAAATGTAATATCTTGCAGGTCGCTTGACAATTGTTGTTGTTATAGAAGGCAGGAAATTTTGATTATCAAAGGGCAACATTCTTTGTCAGGAAAATTTGCTTTAATCTTAACCGAGAAGACAATTGATTTCTCTTGCTCTGCAGGAGCCAGAAGGTCGAGCGAGTGAGGAGGAGTCAAGCAGCTCAGAGGACGAGCGGGAATGGCGACTAGAACAGAAGAAGCAACGAAGAGAGGCTAAGATGAATGAAGAGAAACATATCGCTAACAAACCCAAGTTTTACGAGCTGAAATCTGGAGGAAATTTTAGGAGCATGAAGTCTGGCAAATCGGCATCGACTTTGAGAGATAAGAAGTACGTGGGTTTACGGACTGAGTCTTAGAGAGTGGAAGTGCGCGTAGTAACAGGATTGAGTTCCAGTCGAATAACTACTTCTCGGTAGTCACACTATTTCTCGGGTTTAGAGGGAACGACGGTCTCAGTAGTGGAGCCTAAAGTTAAGAAAGGGGTGAAAAGGCGTGGGTCGGGGCGGGGGAATTTGGTCAATGGACGCTTCCCTTTGGTACCCTCTTGAGGCGAGACCTCATATGTTGTAACGCTTCTACTGTTACAACTGTTACTTTCGAGGGGGTCTCAATGGTCGAGCCTTTGGCTTACGTCAAGGAAGGGAGTGAATGTAGTTATTGGACTGTTCAAACTTTGTTGGCATCTTGAGACAAGACTTCGTGATGTTGTAATTTTTTTTATTTAATGGAAAGCAACTTCCACTTTCGGCATGTGATGATTGCTCTCTGAAATGATACACCAAGTAGGTGGACATAATGTAGATGAGCAATCCTTTCGACGGCTTTTGATCATAGTTAGCTACCGTACGCAGCCCATGGGTATACGAGTTGATAATTAAAAGGACCATTTAGTTTATCTACACGTATTTTATCGTGTGGGTTTGTGGGAGAACTTTGGCTGCCTTGTGTCCAATTCCATGGGGTGGATCTTGTATTTGAGTTGGTAGAGAGGTAGCAACTTGCGTTACATAGATAGCGCAATACATGCCATAACGTGTTGTGTCGATTATGTTGCAGGATATCCCTCGGAGAACGTCTCCTTCATGAACAAAATTCTGGTGTAATCAGATCAACTGGCTCCTCTTTGGGAGAAAAAGAAATCACGTTCCAAGTTAAAAAGGTAAGATACGAATCTGAATGTCTCGTTTCGTGCAAAGACGAGCTACTTTAAGACTCGGGAATCTTGAAAAATTTAGTCTAGATTTTTCGATTTCGTCGTGATCTGTGGTATTGTCCTCCATCTCTAACTAACTTTGTTCCTTTCTGTTTTATTCGTTATTCTCTGATTTTTGTCTTCCCCAGTAAAGCATCATTTTCATGGGTTTTCGATTAAATGGCATATCGCACGTCATAAAAGTATCAACAATGAAGAGATTCAGGTTCCATTGCGAGCCATAATGCTATTTTGAACAAGTAATCCACCCTAACATCAGTATGCATATTCTCCATACTGTTCTCTATACATTTCCTAAGGTGCTGACAAGGAGAATTTGTTTAACAACCAAAAGCTACTTCTTATCATCTCCTTTTTTTCTCTTGATCTTTGTATTTGATTCTGGGGTGATTTTGGTGCTAGTTACTCTCAACACCCGCAAATTAAATGAGTAGTTCGGTAAATAAATTCCCTCAGTTCCCCGAGAGTGGTTAGTGAAAATCTTAACGCACCTCAAGGATGCAAAGGTTTGGGACATTCAAAATTATTTCTTCGTTTCTATAGAGCAACAAAGAGAAACAAAGAAATGAGGAAATTCGTGCTCATGTTAAAGAAAGGAAAAGGCTTCGCCGATCAGCCACGAGTGTTCTGGGGAAGGAAAAACGCGGGCCGGTGTTTTGGAGAGGAAAAAGAGTTAGATGACAAAACACAAAATGCAGTTGAGGGAGACGGCATGAAAATGGGATTCTGTTTGGAGATCAGAGGGGCAGCAAGAACATCTGTTCGGGATAGGACTGCCGACAGTATACTGGTGAATAGAAACGAGGGTTTCCCAAATGAAACGGGTTCAAGCCTGCCTAGTTCCAAGGCTTTTCCTTTAGCCTGTCATCAGCATGAAGTCTGGGAAGGAATGTTAGGTGACGTCACAGTTTAATGTAGAGGCCAGGTTCGACGGAGGTGTGAACGCTTAGCAACAAAGCTGAACAAGTTAGTCCCAGCGCTGGTTTAATTAATAGACTAATTGATAGGATACTACTATAGAGGGCTGGTCTTAAATTCCAACTGCAGATTCCAAGTACTCTCTCTTAAGGAGTTCTTGGCGCTTTTCATGACAGGTTTTAACCGCGATATATCTGATGTATCAAAGTTGTGTTCGTTGTTTCTTGCGTATTTAAAAGGAGGTGCTGTCACTATGGAAAGGAGAAAGCGAGGATGGTGACAACTGAACGTTAATCTGACGAACTGTTTATAAAAAATCGTACACTTTTGAATTTGATGTAACGTTTGATGTGGAGTGTTGGTCGCAAACATTCTGCCGCGCGTTTTCCTAGACAGTTTAATAAGATGATGGCCAAGACCTAGAGAAGCCCAAGCGAGCAGTTGCAAGTTCTAATGTGTCATTACACTTTTTTTTTTATTTGCTGATAAATTTTGATTACTTTTTACACGTAGCAAACTATATTTTATGTTATTTCATCGCGGTGAACGATTAAATTTAACAATCATTCCACTCGCACTTGTGGGATATGAGATGATAGATAGCCAACGAGGCCCGCTAAAGGGTGAGACCAAAATGATTCTTACAAGGAAAACGATAAACGTGAGAGCTTTAATGAGCTAATAAATCAGTGCAACATTACGGCTAGGTACAAAGTTTTTTTCTGTTTTAATTTCTAACAATATTTTCTAGCGCTCGATTTCAAATACACCACTAAGTTCTATTACCGTTATCGGTTACAAGGTGAGCAAGTTGTCTTTGAGGGGTAAAGAATGGTGAAATCAGGGATTCTCGAGACGAAGGGAGCCCTGTTTAAAACTACGAGACCGAGACTACAATTAAAGCTCTAAAACTCTACCATAACCGTCGTTTTCTAAGATTTTTGTAGGGTACTATTAGTTGCAGGAAAACGTGGCGTTAGAAATCGCAGTATTTCAAACTACGGCAGTCAAGCGCTGACTTTTCGTCGCCAGCGACGTTTATCCTCTATGGCTTTGGACAATTGAACTAGATTTTGAAGAAGTTATAAAGCAATGCAACGCTTTAGGCTCATCATAAAAGTTGACCAGATTTCGAGGTGGATTCAAAGTTTGCGAGACAATTTTTCATTAGGTACCATTCGTCACCCCAAATCTGTGTTCTCAGTTAGTGCAATATCGCGACGCTACCAAATTATTTGTACAGATTGTAATGGGTTTCAGCTTATACACGTAAAACGATCCACAGTTTCGTACTTGTATGTAATTATGATAAGCGCAAGTACACGAAGGTGCAGTTCGCCCGAAACATATTTTCTTGGTTACCCTTCCGTCTTCTGCTGACGGATGGCCGCCGACTAACCAACCTGCGCGTTCCGTATCGCAGGAATGATATTTTGCACAGTTGGTATTCATTTGTCTTCCCTTTGGAAAACGGTACCAGCCCTCGACTAAATTATTGTCACACTTGTGGCTGGAGTCTTCGTAGCCCACTCGCCTGGTGTCGTCATGAATGATGGTGTGATGAAGACATTCCAGTCTATCAGTACCTAAAAAATGGTTTGGAAAGCAAATCAATTAAGAGCATTAAAACTTCTATTTGGCGAAGATTTAAACTTTTTAGCCTCAGGCCAATAGATCGTCAATATGTAAAACTATTCAAACGAACACATAGCAGTTACCAAAGAAAAAGGATGAAATGGGAGCTAGTCTACGGAGGGGGAAGGTTCTAAATCGTGTGTATTTAACTCGAGGTTGATTTCCGTAAATTACGTAGAATATGAACACGTGGCCGTGCGAAGTAACCACTGATTTCTCATTCGAGTGCATATGGTTTCTTTCATGAGTGAGAGCAGCGAAAGAGTAAGAGATGCCATTAGTTTCGTATCTCCAAACGAACAAGACATCGCGTGATTTTCAATTTAAAATGCATCGAATGCAGCGATCAGCTACGCAAAACGTGCTCCCGTGGAAAATTCTTCACGCGAAAGCAACGCATCCCAAAAACTGATAAATTAATGCTGATAAAAAGAAAATGCACTTCCTAAACAGTTAATAATAACGCATTTCTTCTTTTGTATTTTGCCACAACATTCCCTTGGATGAATGTATTTAAGAAAAAATAGTTAAAGGTTACATCGACTTATTTTACGAGAGAAATTTTCAAAAGTTACAAAATGAGTAACCTACATGAGGTATTTTCTCCGCTCCATTTACCGTTGGGTAAACATCGTCTCACCGCGGGCCCAATCATGGTATAGCCTGCATGACAAAGGTACCTGACAAATTCTCCTGCCCAGTTTTTGCTTTTCATGATCATTGCATTATCTATATTTACCGGGTTGCCACAGTTGGGTAGGACTAAAAGAAAAGTGCGCCTCAATCAATTAACGGTTAGAATAAAATAAGTGGACTTGAAATCCTCAAGTTACTAGAACAGGAAGGCCTGGGGAAGATTGAAGGAGAACAGTCTTACATGATGGTAACATTAGTACGGAAAGCAGGCAAAGGAAAAGGCGAGTCAAGAATTACAGAAAGAAATGGAACTCGTATGGTTGAATTTATGATCCACTAAATCTTTGGATGTCTTCTCGTGCCTGATTTTCACCTAATATTTATGACAACTCAGGTCCACAGTTAATTCGCGAAAATTTCAGTTGAACGCTCAAGGAAAAGAGATGTCCGAGTAAATCTGATTTTCAGTCATTTAGGGTAAAAGTCATGACAAAAATGACCCAATCACCTCTTAATCAGCAGGATCTTTGAGCTATCGAAGATTGAATTGAAGAAAATTCAAATAAATTTTGACTTACACACTGTTGAATTCGTGGTTATTGTATCATTATACTTGTTACGAGCGACGCATCTGTAGATGCCTTGGTCCTCAGGCTGGAAGTTATTAATCACAAGCTCGCTGGTATATTCGTCATTAGAAACGCTATTTATAGCGTGGATGGCGTCGACGTCATCCTTGTACCACGTGACTGTGGGCAGAGGCGAACCTTTGGCAGAGCAATTGATCCGCAGAGTTTCTCGAATTCCCGGCACAGAGATTGAAGAGGTGAGTGTTGTAGAGAACTCAGGAGGAACTAGCAAATGAACACGATTGATAAAGTTATCACTTTATCGTCCTACACGCTGTTAGAAAAGGTAATTTGAGGGCTGCCCTATCCAATAATACAGTTTCATCAAACAAATTTTGTCTTTTAAAATAGACACACCATTTTATGCAAAACAAAAAACTATTAAAAACAAGAGGAACCCATTATATCCCAAATGAAAAATCAACTCAAAGATTTGGCCACGAAACTCACTTACAGTGGATTCATTTTAAACTACTCTAATAAAGACCAGATCTAATAAGCTTTTAATCCGCCATTTCGACTCTAAGTTACCGTGCCCAAGATGAAGCGAATCATGTGTCCTGATTGGCTACCCGAGCTGGCAGGATGGGCCCATCTTGCACGTTTGGGATTTCCCGCATTGATCCCGTGCATGAAAAAAAATTGAATTAGTGCTACGTTCGTAATTCTTGGACAATGTCGGCGATGGAAACGCAAATAGCGGTAGAAGATAGTCCAAACAAAAAAAACCAGAAATGACTCGTGAGTTTGTTGTGCTACCTACACAATAGCGCTTTATACTAATGACGTCATGAAGTTTTAGACCCCCTGCGTGACTCAGACAAACAAACTCCACTTCTTTGAGAGCCACAAGGGAAATGGCGAGTAGTTCGCTTATTCCGTTACAGTTCTGACCGAAGAGGACGGCGTTCCTGGCTCCAAATTTGAAAGAGAACCGGAAGAATACACTGTAGACCAGCTAAAACGGTGGTTAAAATGTAGTGGCTTAAAATTAAGCGGTAAACGAGAAGATCTTGTACAGACTGTGTGAGATGCTGGAATTATCACACCCTTGATCCGGCAATCGATCATGGAAAATGGTTTGCTGCCAAAGTTTTTCAAAAAAGTTCTGATGTAAACAATGTAAAAAGGGGGTTGACAGGCCTACACTACTCCCCAGCG